AATGTTGTCAGTTATTCTTAATACAAGAGTCTGCCAAACAACTGAAAGAGTGAAGTCAAAAGTTATTGTAACTTATTTCATGATCTTTCCCTTTGTATTTTTGAGATGCTACTACATATATCTTTCTAGTTATCCATATATATATCCATATATACCATATATAATGGCCATCTGTTTTTCTATGGTTTACATATGTTTCTGGTTTTGACCCCATCAGTGTCACCCACCTTGCCCAAGCATGTTGATGGTCATGTTTGTCTAAATTAACATGACCAACCAATCAGCCGACCAAGCATTGTCTGATGAAAAGGGGAGAGCTGCTGTTAACAGGCCATTAATTTTTTCTTTACGTCTCTGCTTGACGACAGAAAGCTGTGCGATGTAGCGAAGTGCATTGCGTTTAGTAACGTGCCAACGCATATCAACCAGCACCTAACAGGATGGGTGAAAACGGGAGGTCCTTGTACTCTGCAGAGTAGCTCAGCGTAGGGGGTCTTCTTGTCCTTAAACCCCAGACATGTGCATTTATTTAGGGGACTCTCATCAAAAGCAAGGTACGATTGAGAAAACAATTCATGTTAACGGTCGGGCTCAAGGGCCTGATGGTGAAGTAACTCTTCTGACCCTAGGAGTTGAGCCAGCAACCTTCTGATCAAAAGCACAGAATCCTAATCATGTGATCGTCATACTACCCCTTCCCACATGCGGCCATTTCATTTCTGCTGCTGCGGAGCATGTAGGACAGTGTAGATGTCCCTGGTCTCCACCAGCCTTCAGAGAGCCCTGCTCGGGGGGGGGGCTAATTCTCAGGCATGACGACGGGGTGCTTTATTAGGCCCCGGGGTCAAGTCACAGCAGATGGTGGGGGAACTGCAGTGCAGGGTGCTTTGAGTCTGGGTGGTGCTTGGCAGGAGATGATGTATTCATCATGGGAGAGACGTTCATCTGACACGGACACTGTCAGCCAGAAAGGATGGGCTGGAGGAAGGAATCCCTGCAACGTGGTCAAAGCTCGTAGTAAATAGCCAGATTTTCTGGATGCATAAATATCAGCCGCCTCCTGACAGATTGCCATGAATTTTTGATTTAACACATGTTCTCGAGTGAAGGGCACATATAAAGAGGCTCGCGCCCATATTGTCCTTTATTGAATGAATAAAGGTGAGCGCGATGGTGATCCGTATCCATGACGATAGTCACCAAAAGAGCTTCACATGACATGCACACCAACTTTCCCAGCCTGTAGATATATAGATCCTTTATGTGTGATGCGGGCATGTATAGGCATGCATATATACCACAAGAACAGGGAGAGGTGCAAACTTGTAGCTACGAGCAACAAAAATGTCATCGTAAAAGTATGGGGCCTGCATTGATTTAGAGTAAAAACTCTAATAAATGGGAGAAAGCCTTAATTGAGCATCATAAAGAGATACCCAGTGAAACAATATCTGATGATGATAAAAGGTAATGGGAGGAGTGTGGAGATGGAAGACGGAGAGCAATGAAGGACTCTAACAGCCCAGATGTTAGCAGTCATGACTGGAGGAAGGTTTGCAGTCCACATCAGTGTTTCTACGCTGGCTAATTAATACTGATCCTGCTGAAACACACCAAATGTTTATTCACCTCATATAAATATTTATCACTGGAAAAACACATCTTAATTTTCAAATGGGTCATGCTCTTTGTTCATTCTATTATATTTATTTAAACTTAGTTCACTATATTTGCCTAAAGAAATGTTTTGCTAGAGGGTTAAGACTTGAATGTTTTAAATATCCGCACATTGCATTATAAGGTAGCAAACTTTATCCTGGTTACAATTTCAGATGTCAAATATACACACACACACATATACAGATCTACTTGAATTAGTCTGTCATAAGAACCAAAAAATTCCCCTTTTTTGGGTAATTGTGCATGTGAGTGTGTGTCCTGTAATGAACCGGCTTCCCTGGGATTGACTGCACCCTCACCGTGACCCCAAACTGGAAAAGAAATCCCAGGAAAACAAATGAAGAATAAAGAGTTTAAAATACTTCTTCAAATTTTAATGAAGTAATATATCACAGAATATATAGGTCGGCGTGGGGGCTCGTGGGTAACGCTGTTGCCTCACATCTCCGGCGTTGGGGATGCAAATCCTGCCCTGCTCTGTGTGTGGGGGGGCTTGCATGATCTCTCCGAGTCACATGGGTTTCCTCCCTGTATTCCAGTTCCCCTCCACAGCCGAGAAGCATGCAGGTGGCGTCTCTAAATTGCCCAGAGCATGTGACTGTTTGTGTGTGCCATGTGATGGACTGGCTTCCCATCCAGGCTGCATTCCAGCCTTGTGCTCTCTGCTGCTGATAATAGACCTCAGGCCCCCTGTAACCCTGTCTGAAGTCAGAAAATGAACAGATCACAAAATATCTAAAAACATTTATCGCTAGAATGTTGAAAACACGAGCGATTACCCTGTGAATTGCCAGTTCAGCTGTCGCGCCTGTCATCCCAGGCAGTGGGGCTGCAGTGGAGAGACTTTCTGCCCAGGGGGCGTTCTTGCACCTTAAGCCGCCACGGCGCCGCCGAATCTGCAAGCTTGGGCTCTGTCACAGCTGCACGCATCTTGCCCATTAGATCCTCAGAGTCGCGATGGATTCCTGTGAGCTTCTCCCCCCGTCTGACTAAGGGAGGCTCCAGCCCGGACACACCTCCGCTCTGAGGTGTCTAACCGACGGTTTTCTGCAGTGACGCGTATTTCCGAGCGGACTTGTGGAAACCTGGCTCACGGCATCTGGAGGAAAGGGGGAGGGAGGCTGAACAGTCTCAGGCGTGCTGTCTACCTATTACAGAACCTAGCAATTAGACCATCTCATAAATAGCACTGCTGAGTTATCAAACAGGAATGACATGGGGGTGGGGGGGGGGTTGTTTTTTTCCCACAGTCTTAAGTATACCCTGAATCCAGACTATTCACTTTAAACACTCGCATTTAAAAGCTGCTGCAGAAGTGGCTGCATTAATCGCCATAGCTGCATTCCGCGCAGCGGGCTTTATACGCATCATGAACAAGGGTGGCATGCACATCCTTCAGATGCCTGGACAGCAAGCCAACGCAGCCATGAAAATTAAACCTGTCTTGATTACATGTTGTAAAAAAAAAAAAAAAAAAAAACCTGAGGTGAAGAGGCTGAAATACTAGCTTGCTTGGCTCACGGGTGCTGTATGCAGTTTTGTGAATTGAGACAGTGCTTGAGTGTCACATGAGAGAGGGGGTGTGATGTCATTAACACGTGCCACCGCTGTCAGAGGCACAAGGCAGGAATCTGCCCAGCACTGCTGTTAGTGAATTTAGGGACTCATACACATGTCAAATCCTGGAAATAAGCTTGAGTTTTCCCCCTTACATCACAAAAAGGCAGCAAGGAATCCAACACTTCAAAAAATCACTTGAATGAGTCAACAAAACAACCCATGCGAGATTACAATCATGCGTGGATCCTCCATTTCTACGGGAAACAACTTGCAGTTTTTTCACGCGTGACTGTGTACGATACGAGCTATAGTGCAGGAAGGGCATCGGCAGGTTAATGCGTGCTGCATCCTAGCTGGGTAACTGTCCCATATCCCATATGGTGTCCATAGCCGCTTGACATTAAAGAATAACAGAAGCTTATGTCATACATTACAAATCACATTACAGAGCACGACTGCTGTTGCTTTTAATAAGTGGAGCTATTCTAGCCATTCTATTTCTATGCCAGTACCCTTGGATACTGTTGGGCTACAATGCATGCACTGTTCAGTATATAAATAAATTAACTTGGGCCTTGTGGTCATTTATTCATTTGCAAAAATACATCTACCAGAGGAGATGAATCACTGATGCTTTAAAAAGTTCAGTAATGTCTCCTCGCCGGTCGAGACGTGGGGTGGGTTCATTAACCTGTGTAAATCACTAATGTGAAGCAGTGTGTCTATGGTACGGGGGGGCTTAACATAATAACGACGGCAATAATAATAATCATCATCATCCCCCATCATTGCATTTCACAAATACTATTATCGTTATTATTGTTATTATTACTGATGATGATGCCAATGCCAGGCTGATTGTCCCCAGCAGAAATTTCACCATGGAAATAAATGAAAATTTGAAACTTTATCAAATTACACTAAAAGCAATTCCGAACAAATGGTGCTTGAATGCGTCCCCATCTGATGAAGATCACAAACGCGTAATTTCATTGCGCTGGGAGGGGGCGGGTGGTGCTGTGGGTTTTGTTGGGAAGGGATCGGGCAGGGGTCGTGGAGATGACAGCCTGCCAAGGACTGAGGTGGCCATTAGTGTCAGAGGGTGCGGTGAGGCTGGTGCGGGCACATGGTCAGGGGTGCCCCCCACCCCTCTCTGCTGGCCAAGCTGGCCCTGCTTTAACAACGACGACTGTATTGACCCGGGTAACCAGCTTCTGTCGCCTTCCTAACTTCGAAATCACCAGCCCCCCAGTGTGTGCAAAGGAGCTACAGGTGTACAGCTTCTTCAGTAGCCATCTAAGCGCTTCGTGTCTCAGATGCTCGGCTGATGATAAAGCAGCAGAGCTCTGGCTCCTTGCCTGTAGTGGTTGGCCAGTCTGACTCCTGCCTGAACAAACATTATTAGAGGCGGACAAACCCCCTCTCGCTGGCGCTAATTAAAGGGCTCGCGGGGTAGTTTTCTACGAGTGTATGCGAGATGAAACGGCTTAGGAGCCTGTTTAGTAATTGTGGCGGGGCTACCTACGTCAGCGCGCTTAGCATAATTAGGTAATTATGCGGCTGCGTGTGCGAGTGTTGGCGGAGAGAGTTAACGGAGCTAATGAAGTGACCACACATAATCAGCCTCTATTTGCCCCCTTTTTTATTATTCAATTTCGACCGTTGTTATTGTTTGGAAGTGTACGCGGCGACGCTTATTCGGGACATTGTTTGTGAGAAATAGTGCTACAGATGGTGGGCTTTAATTCCTCGTGACGCGCGCACGCGAATGTAGACGCGGTTTGTGAACACGTACGCGCGTGCCCGCGCGCGAGATGCGACTTGAGTGAGAAGGTAAACGGGGTTGCTTGATTCAACATAAGTTGTTTTTTTTTTTTTTACAGAAATTACACATCATTTCTCCCTCTTCTTCAGTACCCCGTTTCTCTTACTGATTTTTTTTACACTGTTATAAACTGGTTACACGGTGCGGTAGAAAAAGCCGTGTGTCACTCGCGTTTACAGAAAAAAAAACGAGCGCGCAATATTTGGACGTGAGTTTTTTATAGCTTAAAACTGCGGGGGAGTGGGACAGCAGAAGGGACGAAAACTTAGAAGCAGGTCTCTGATTAATTGACTGTTAATTATTACTTGCTAGACATGGTGGAGCAAAGTGCTTGCATAGCAAAGAAGAAATTAAAAATAATAAATAACTATCAAAATTACAGCACAAAGCCCACGCTGATAATGATTAGTAAAATGTTTAGAGGTTGTGAGTGTGGCACATTCGCCCTTGTGACCCCACAGGAAAAGCAGCAATATTCTCGATATGGTACATTCCAGCATCTTAATGTCATCTGCATGTCGAACTGCAAAGACTTAAAGACTTCTGGATTAGATTTTCACCCCTGGCACTGTTTGTGTGGCAAAGTCCAAAAACATACAGTTAGGAGTATATGTGTCTCTTAATAGTGCTCTGTGTGCATGAGCGTGTTTTTGCCCCTGATAGACTGGAATCCGGTCCTGCGTCTCCCCTGTCTGTTGCCCTATAATTCCTGAGATTGGCTCCAGGCTCATTATGACATTGTACAGAATAAGTATCTTAGACATATGGATTGATTGAAACCTTTCACTTGTTGAGTAATTTAGACCTTACTGTGACTGTTGACTTTTCAGAGATCTCAGAAGAGGTTACTGGGCGAGGCTAATGAATTTATAGAAAACAGAGGATGCACATGGAGAGCAACACAGGTGTGATTCCCTGGCTGATTCTTGGGGCCCAGCACTTAACAGGGATTGTTGGACACATAAAATTGTTTGGGTGGTGAGTTGATGTCATTTTCATACACATTTTACAACCCCCCCCCCACCCAGTTGTTGCAGACCTCCCCTTCTCTGCATATTTTATTATATTGCATATTTCCTCCCCAAATTATTCATCCACCCGTCCATCCATCCATCCATCCATCTTTCAACTGCTTACCCACTAGAGGGTCATGGTAAGCCTGGTATCTATTCCAATTCCAGGAATCACAGAGCATGAGGGACATCTTGGATGGAATTTCCACTAAGCCTTTGCTCGCAGACATTTTCCCAAAGTTTTAAGAGGAAAGGTAAAGAATGTTCATGCATAGTTAATGAACTTGGAAAATGTAGATCATCAGGATTTTTTCTTGGTGGAAAAAAAAACAGTCATCTTGATAGGCAGCTGTAAACACTGCATTTTCATTTCCCTGGTATCTCTCCCAGTAGTGATACAATCAGGCCCCAAAACATACTTGTTGGCACTTAGAACCAAGTATGGAAACCAACAAACTTTTTATTTTATGCATCCATAGATGAAGATCTGTCCACAGGAAAAAAACAAGTCTGGTAACACTAGAAACAAAAGACAATATAACAAGAAAAAAAATAAAAACAATACTTCCACAGTGTTGTGTGGAGTCTAAGTAAAAGTACTTGGTATACACTTACCATTCATTCATTGCATTGTAGGTAAAATCTCGTCTCATTGCTACTGTAGGTCTTTATCGACAAACAATTCTGTGGTATTTAATGTGAAAACAAAAGTCACTGTATGGTCTTTTTCTGAAGCACATGGAATGGTTGAAGATTTTTTAAACCCTGTATTTAATAAGCAACTAGAAGATTGATGTATGGAATATGCACCCAAAATTACTCATGCAAACGGTATCAGTTTCATTGCTGCACACCTGAGATTTTATATAGCATAATGATTGTCCACAAATTGCCTTAGTAGTGCTCCCCCATCCCAAGTTGTATCTTGCTTTGAGTTCTAGGGTTTGGCATCAACCAGTTGCTGTGTGATCTCTTCTATTACAACTCCAACAAATTACTCGCTCAACACTCTGCAACCTTCTGGAATGTCCTAGTAACCAGGTCATAGATTAATGGGATTCTGGAAACTATTGTCTGGATTTCATTGTGGTTCTGTTTTTTTTTCTAATTTTCTAAAAAAAAAATTAAACTCTTAATTTGGCTACTCACGAGGTGAAGAAAAGCAGTGGCTGAATATATATATATATTTTTTTTACCCCTGTCGTGTCCGGCTGTTTAGCAAGCAGGATGTTAGTCTGGCTGCTTTATTGTGCCAACACTTTTATTTTGCCAAGTGGAGCTTCGGATTAAGCTCCTCTTGTTACTTGAGATATACTCTTTATTCACCATTTTAGATTATTACGGCATGAAGCCGGAGCTGACAGGGAAATAGGAGAGATAGAGAGAGGAAGAGAGGAGGGAAAGAAAGAGAGGGAAAAAGAGAGAAAGAGAAGAGAAGAGAGAAGAAGAAGAAAAAAAGGGGGTGGTCAGATAGAGAGAGAAAAACAGGGAAAGAAAAATAATACATGACAACTTAAGAAAAAGTAGAGCAAAAGGAGAGAGTAACAAAAGGAGAGAGTAACAAAAGGAGAGAGTAACAAAAGGAGAGAGTAACAAAAGGACAGCTTCTGCATCTTAGTGCTGGACATTGTATCCAAGTACTGGAGTGGCTGAACATTTGTAAGACTTTGTACCTGAACCCCAAAATCTGCTCAAGTTGAGTCGATTAATCCTTCTCTGCCATTACTGCTGTAATGCTCTGGAACAAACACTACATTAAAAATCCAGAGACACCGGTGGGAGAGCATTGGAAGTCTGCCAGGGAAAGAACATCATTCTGCAAAGACTTTGATAATACCAATGATGTGCTAAAAAACTGATGTCTTCAAAGCACAGGACAGGCAGGTACCTGAAAAGGAGTTAAAAGGAGAATGACTTATTCCTTGGAACAGAATAGAGTTTCACAACTGATCACATGACTACAGTCAGTGCACCACCTTTTTTGGAACAGAAGTGGTGCTTCATGGAGGAAAAAGACAAGCAAAATAAGAGACTACATCCAGCAACATTTTGGTTGACATTTTTAAATTGGCTCATGAGGCTTCAACTAGTTACCTTTTGGGTGCAAACATGCCTACTTAACCAGCAGGCAGTCTATTACTAAATCAAGAATCCCCCATTAACCATCAACAATCGGCACTTTCCTCACAAACAGTCGGTGGATCGTCAACTGGGCCCGGTTGGAACCGCCACCCTTGGTGTGATTCATAAACGCAGGGAGAACACCAGGAACCAAGTCGGCAACCATCCGGGGGAAAGAAGAGTGAAGAATGGTGCCGATTTATCATGCCATTACGGCCCTGATGGCCAAACACACCTGTACTTTTTTTCCCCGGTAATTTATCGTCCGTTTGCGGATTCCGAATGGGGGGGGGAGAAAAAAAATTAGTGGCGCTTTAATTAGCGCCGCCGCTGGCTCAAATATTAACGGGGCACGGAGTGCTGCATGCTCATTTCTGTTGATTTTTAATTAGCAGTAATTCATTTTGCACAAAGCATGTTGATGCCTGCGCCACAGACATTAGCGAAGCGGCTGAATGAAGATGTTACCCGAGGAGTCGCCGTGCATACACAATGATGCTAGAGAGCCTCATTTTTTCGGGCCTGGGGGAGACCATACCAGGACCCGGGACAGTGCGGTACTGGCAACCACAGTCCAGCTGTCAGCCCTCCACTCAGAACAGACTTTTAAATTGATTTTAATGTATTACTACTAAGCACAAGTCTGCCTTTTAGCATCTATGTGAATATTCTGCAAGTACACAAATGTGTGAGTCATATCCTCTTTAACTCCTGCCTTTAAACTTCCCACCACTGCTGGATTCCTGCCACTGTTCAGGTGACATCTGTGACTGGGAAGTGTGAAGAGATACGTGTCTCTGGAAATGAGAGATTAGCATCTGTCTGCTTCATTGCTAATGCCTTTATTACAGCCCCCTTTGTTTCTGGGGATTTTCTCTTTTTGGACTTTCTTCGTCCTTGTCTTCAGAGATCTGAGTGGCTTTGTGCGTGGCTGTTTTCTGCCATGCAGGCGTTCAGCCTCACAGACAAAAGTAAACAAGCACCGCTGCTTGGTAAACTCTAGAAGTGGGACAGGAAACAAAAGGACCCGACGTTATCAAAGACATCTTTCTAAAAACACGGTAATCTTAGCTGAATATTCCCATGTGAAGCAGTGTTGTGTCTCGTTTAGTGGCTATATAAAAAGGGAAAAAAGAGCAAATCTTTCCAAGACAAAAAAATAAACATATCTTGGAAGGAATAATTATTTCCCTCCTTAAGTCAGAACATCTTGTTCGTTAAGAAGTGGTAGATTGTTCAGAGGAGATAGTGTGGATGATTGAAGCAGAGATACCAGACGTCACTTAAAGATACCCAGGGGACAAGTTTTTGGTTTTAAAAATCAGCAACACAGGAAAGAGTTTATGTGAAATATTTTAGCTCATAAATATATGGACCACAAGTTTAGGTATTTTCTAAAATGGTTGTTTATACTACTTGCTTAGATAGTAATCAATTTTTTTTTACATTATGTTGAGCTAAGGTACAACTGAAAAATATTAAGGTCTGTGTGAACCATGTCAAGCGGAAATCAAGCAGTGAACGTGTGAGTGTCATGAGACAGACTTCATGGACACTAGGAGATAGCTGATGGTTGTATAAATAAGACCTGCTGGAACATCTGGTCTTTGCTGCGTGTTCAGCCTTTTAATGTCTGCTGAGCAGCATCTCCCAGTGCATCTCCGACTGCCGCTCCCCACCACATCTTGGCAAATGACATTAAGTTATCTTAGGAGAAACTGAGGAAATCCCATGCTCTCCCTCATTTGGAGAGCTCTGATTCCACATCCCGGCCCCCCACCCTTCCCCCACCTCCATTCCTTTTCGTGAGAACTTTCTTCTAAACTTGGTGCAAACACACCCGTTTTCAAGGTGACAGAACCCCCAGGTGATGGACCCCCCCCCCCCCCCCAGTTCGTGCCTCAAGTGGATCTGTGTATGAAGGCTGCTTGCATTGTGGAGCTTGAAAGTCCTGGCTGGTGGCGGAGGGGGGGGAATCTGTTTAGTCGGGGGCTTTGTAAATCCAATTAGCGTTGTGGAGCCCATGAATTAAACACAGAAAAGCCTCTTAACATCAGAATGACACACGAAAAAAACCCCAAAAAGTTCCAGCTTGGTGTTCTCCATGCTCACTCCATTAAAAACTTCCTACCTTCTGGATGGCGCTGACATGCGTTTGCACTGTGCGCTGGAGTTCGCCAATACATGTATTTCTGTGCCCTCTGTAGAGGGTCTTGCTTTAATATAGGTTGCTATATCAACTGTTTGCCTTGATGTAAAGTGCTCAGAGCATATCTGTTCCCAAGAGTCTGCTTCAGCTCTGTGGTGGAACTGACTGATACACAAAAAAAGCATTTTTCCAGATGTCAGGGATTTCAACTACCTCCCACGCTGGTGGCTTCCTATCACAGCCCTGTCTGACGTTCCAGTCTAGCTACGGCAGACAAAAGATAAGTAAATAGTATCACTGGACACATCAGCCTGAGACTGCGCTTTTGAGAGTTTCTTGTAACAGGCTGTAAGTTAGGAGATTTTCTAATAGTGGTGCCCATGACACGAGGAAGCACACTGATGCACTGCCAGCCCAACTCACAAGAGGCTGACATTAGTCATGGTAGCACCGGCACATGAGTAATGATTGTGAACCTCACCACTTGATAATCCCGAGGTTGCTACACCACAGTTTGGAGTGATCTTTCACTCTGGGTGCAAGGATTTGGGTTGGAAAAGTGGCCTAAGCTCAGAGCTACACACATTGAAGGCCAACGGTCAAACCTTTAACACCTTCACAGGTCGTATGACCGAATTTAACTTACCAGGGCAGCTGTTGTACTAGGGAAAGTGTGGACTAGACATCCCTAAACCCATGTTGCCATGGACAAGCCAAGACTAGTTAACTGGAGTCACCACTGATTATCCCATCACACACAGCCCAACACAGCACAATCCAAGGTCAACCCCCTTTACTCCAACAAAACGAAAGCCCATTAATGTTGACACCATAAGACCATATGTAGATACCATCAGCGAGCCCGCCTCCCACTTCCATTCATGCATCCTCTGATGCCGGAGTAAATTTTAAAATAAATAAATAAATAATGAGAAGCATTTTATTTTGCAACATATTCGTTTTCAAGACAAAAGATTTCAATATTGCATACTTATTAATCTATGCGGAGGAATCTTTAAAGGGATCATTTACTCTGGGGAGCATGAGTTCATTAAAATCCACCAAAATTATATAACAGAAAATGTACTGTTGATTAAAACGGCTGTTCAGAGCATCATTGAATACTAATTGTGGTAATTTTGGAAGCTGCACTCATAGGTATTTTTAGCATAAAAGTGATATCTAAATATTCAGAAAGGTCACTCCATACGACTGTTTTGAGGTGCATTTGCATTACGTGGTCTGATCCAGGGGCAATGTGTCAGCCTTATATTATTGGTGATATTCAATAAAATGCGTTTTTTGTTTGGACTGGGTCTGTTTTCCCATTGGTGAGATGGAAATATGAGCAACTCAACCCACCAGGCAAGAAAACAAAAACTCTCCTTTTTCCTAGACTTTGTTCCCCGTCTGCTGGGATGCCATAAATAACAGCGAAATTGAGGCAGGACAGCAGCGTAGACATAATTACCGTTTACGTCTTGTCACTCCGCCTGCGTTTGTGTGGAGTTAAAGTTAAAACAAACTTCATTGTGGGAGTCTTCTGGGTGTTCCTTAGTTTTGGCCCATTGCCGGCCGCAGGGCCACTCGGGTCCGTGTCCAAACTTGTCGCGCAAAACATGAAGTTGGGCGGCACTCTTGCTCTGCAGTAGGACGCCCTGCGAGTTGCCGTCTTCCGTGGCGGCCGGCGCATTCCCCGCGTGCCTTAATAATTTCCTTGTCG